ATACCGATATATCGGCGACAGGCTCATATCGGCCGATAATATCGGCAAAACGATATATCGGTCGGGCTCTAATACTATAGTAAGTACATGTAACGTGTAACAAGGACACTGTAAAATAAAGTGTTAAATTATTTTATTGGTGATTAGTTTCTTCATTTTACTTTTAAATGGCACTCCTAGACATACATAGCATACATAGGTGTAACTTTAACCCTTTAGGCGCCAGGTTTTTTTTGGAAATCAAATGAGATATTACACCATATTAGGAACTACAGTCTATTTGATTAAGTATGACGTCTTTTCGCAATTTTGCGACTTTGGCGCTAAGAGGGTTAAAGAAAAATGCCAGTTGATGTGTCTTAGAGATGATCCTATGATTTCTTCATGTTCTCCTCAGGTGTGATCCGAACACAGGAACTGCTGGACCATGAGACCGTACCTCACTACTGGCTGACGGTCTATGCTACTGATCGTGGTGTGGTTCCGCTGTCTTCCTTCGTCGAGGTCTACATCGAAGTCCAGGATGTCAACGATAATGCCCCACAGACCTCCGAACCTGTCTATTATCCATCCGTCATTGAGAACTCACCCAAAGATGTCTCCATCATCCAGATTGAGGCGTTTGACCCAGACACCAAATCTAGTGAAAAGCTGTCCTATAAGATCACTAGCGGGAACCCCCAGGGTTTCTTCAGCATCAACCCTAAGACTGGTAAGTGTTTCAAAGTGCTTTGTTTTCATCTTACTGTCCTTCTAGCAGTTGATTTGAAGATGCAGAGGTTGACAGGAATAGACTGAGAGTTTGAAGTAACCAAATTTATCAAATGTGGGTTCAACTGGACATAAGGCAGATTTATTTTAAAAGATTTTATTTTTTATTTTAAAAGTTTCGGCACACATATTGGGCAATTACTTCACTTATATCTTATAAATGTTGTACAGTGCTGATAAATTAATTTATATACCAGCGTACATTTTGAAAAACCTGAAATTTCAGTTTCAAAAGTAACTTTTTTTGCAAGAAATTAATACTTTTATTCAGCAAAGACACATTAAATTAATTAAAAGTGGCAATAAAGACATGTATTATAATGATGCATTAACCTTCTATTTCTCAAAGAATCTTGAAGAAAAAAGTAAAAAAAATACAAATAAAATCAGTTTCCACAAAATATTAAGCAGATAAAAATATTCAGTCTAATATTAAGGCTGTTGAAAATGCAGTTTTGCCATCTCAGAAATGAATTACATTTTAAAAGAATATTAAAATGGTAAACGGTTATTTTAAATTGCAATAATATTTCACAGTATTTCTGTTTTTACTGTATTTTGATCAAATAAATGCGGCCTTGGTGAACATTTCAAAAATGGTTGTTCATATGGTAACTAACAGCAATTCTGTTAATTATTTCTTCAGCTGACACACAACTCAGTGATTCATTTCCTAGTTAAGCATGGTTTGCAGAGCATATTCTGTTCGAAAGGGCCTTTTCATGTCACATTGACCTATATCAGTACAGTGAAAATGGTCCATCAGAGAAGACATCCATCTACAGGTGCATACAAATAGTTAGAGATAGGTTAGCTGTGTCCTAATGCTCTCCTGAGATTCTTTGAGTGCCATCAGTCCCAAACCTCTGTTTTTTTTTATGTAAATCTACTGAAGCATAAGGCTCAGTGAGTAAGTGTTCGAAGGCACATTCAGCTGCTCTCGGATCTACTCTGTGTTCTTGTTTTCTCAGCATGTCTCTCTCTCTGTCGCTTTCCTCTCTTTCTCACTCTCTTCATGGATCACTGTGTGATATGGGGTTTGCTAAATGGACCCACACTGAATATTTTATACAGCTATGGTTCCCCCTCCTCGTCCTCTTCTCCCCCATAGAGTAGAACATGATTTTGCAGGCATACCAAGGAGAATAGGCGTAAAAAGGTGCAAACAGCAGATCCAGAGGCCCGGCAAGCTGTAGAAAACCTTAAAATGAATCACTCTTCAATTTCAGGACTTTTCAGAAACATGTTAGGTCAGATTACCTAGCGCCTGCAATATCTTCACCATTGTTGTCTGAACATGTTTTAGTGCTAAGAACAAATAACTTTTAAAGCTTAACTGAGGAAGACGGTGATAGCTAGCGGCTACAGTTCTATTGATCCCACAATGTTTTAGATAAAAAGACATAATCGAGCCAAACATTAAAGGGGTCATATGATGCTTTTTTAAAGATCATAGGTTAGATAATTTTCTTTTTGTGCTTTTATAATTTGGTTGGGCTGAATTTTGTGGATGAATATTTCAGAGTCCTGATGCTGGATGTTGTTAGTCATGTTAGTTTGTTTTTGCAGCTTCAGGACCGTCTGAATCAGGGGACTTTTTTCAGGGTTCACTTCATGGTTTTTAAGGGCTTTAAAATGGTAAGAGTTGGGGTCCCTCATTTTTAGGTGTTTCCAAAATTGGATGGCTCTTTTCTCAATGCGCATTAGTAGAGGGTATTGGCCTAATTCTGCCCTGCATGCGTTGTTCGGTGTGCTCCTCTGTACTCTGAGGAGACTCTTACAGAACTCAGCATGCAGGGCTTCAATCGGATTTTTGTCCCATTTTTCGAATTGGTGATTTAGGAGAGGACCCCACACTTCACTGCCATATAATGCAATAGGTTCTATGACTGATTGGAATATTTTGAGCCAGATTCTAATTGGTATTTCAATTTGGATAGATTTTTTGATGGCATAAAAGGCCCTTCTTGCTTTCTCTTTCAGTTCATTCACAGCCAAATTTAGCTTGCCAGTTGCATTTATCTTCAGCCCGAGGTATGTGTAGTTTGTGGCATTTTCAATTTTGGTCACACCAAGGGTGAAGTTATGTCTCTCTCCCTGAACTCTGGGTCTTTTCTGGAATGTTAGTACTTTAGTTTTGTTAGGATTAATCGTCAGGGCCCAGGTCTGACAGAACTTGTGCAGGATGTCTAGGCTCTGCTGTAGACCCTCTTCTGTTGGAGACAGCAGAACCAGATCATCTGCAAACAGCAAGAGCTTTATGTTGGAGTCATGCAGTGTGAGGCCAGGTGCTGCTGATTGTTCCAGGAGTTTCGCCAATTCATTAATGTAGATATTGAAGAGGGTCGGTGATAGTGGACAGCCCTGCCTCACACCCCGCCCTTGAGTGAATAATTCTGTGCGTTTATTTTCCATTTTAACTGCGCATTGATTGTTTGAATACATTGTTTTTATGATATTGTATGTTTTACCCCCAATACCTGATTGTAGAAGTTTTGACAACAGACCTTCATGCCAAATTGAATCAAAGGCCTTTTGGAAATCTACAAAGCAAGCAACAATGTTGGTTTTGTTTTGGTTAATGTATTTGTCGATCAGGGTGTGTAGGGTGAAGATGTGGTCTGTTGTTCTATAATTTGGTAAGAATCCAATCTGACTTTTGATGAGGACATTGTGCTCTGTGAGGAAGTGTAGAAGTCTTTGCAGAACAGCTTCCCCAGATTACTGCTTACACAGATGCCTCTGTAGTTGTTGGGGTCTGATTTGTCTCCACTCTTGAATATGGGCGTTATGAGTCCTTGATTCCAGGTTTCAGGGAAATGACCAACACTCAGAACCAAGCTGAACAGGTTTAGTAGGGCCAATCTTAATTTGTGCTCTGTGTTCTTGAGCATTTCATTGAGGATGCCATCTGCTCCACTTGCTTTTTTGTTTTTTAGGGCCTGGATTTTATCAATCAGTTCATTTTCTGTAATGGGGTAGTCTAATGGGTTTTGATATTTACCAATTGTATGTTCCATATGAATCACTTTTTCATAATATATATATACATATTATTGTGTGTATGTCTTTTACTCACTACTACTGTTCCAGCCGTGTGTATATAAGTCTGAGCAGGTCCTTGATCTCTAACAGGTTGGTGTGGTTTGGCCCTTTTAGGGCTGCGGCATAACTCCTCTGCTCCTGCTGCTCGGGCCGGTGTGGGTGTGGACCAGGCTGCTGCTCTGCTGAGATGCTGTTGTTCCTCGCTGGAGCTGCTTTGGGTCTTTTGTGGTTGTGCTGATGTTGGTCCCAGGAGAGAGGGCCCTGTGGTGCAAGGTACTGTTGCTGGGGTCTCCGCTGCTGTGGTGTAGGCTGATGGTAGTAGAGAGCAGTCTGTGGATGTTGAGGTCGAAGTACAGATCCAGGTCCATGTCAAGGCTGAGGACGAGGTACAGGCCCCGGTTGAGGTACAGGTCCAGGGCGGTGGGGTGGGGGCATAGTGGCTTGGCCATAGGGTGCAGGCCTGTGGGTAGGGTTTGTAGAGTACTGCTCAGCCGAGCCTGGAGAGGTGATGTTCTGTGGTGCTGTTGGAGGAAAGCGTCTCACTGGCTGAAGGGTAGTGGTTGCTCTGGCGCTCTTTGGGGGGCTGCCAGGGGTTCGGCCCAGGGCCACGTCTTTAAGAGTTTTGGCAAACACACGAACACTGTCTTTATAGAGGTGGACATCGTCGTAGAGGTGGCTGAGGTCCAGTGTAGGATGATGTGCCAGGTGAACATTTGGCATTCCAGCACATCTACGTGTGATGTCTGCATTTACTCTTTGTATGGTGCGAGGATGGAAGTCTGATCTGGGCAGGATGGTGGAGATAACTACTTTTGAAGTCGGGAAGGTTTGTGTTGCTTTTATGGCCACCCGTGTCACTGAATCTGCCACTCGCTCTTGTTGTGCTCGCAGGTCATTCGTGCCCACATGGATTATGATGTGGCTGGGTTCACCCAGATTCTCCCTGTTCAGTTGTTGTAGGGCAATATCTGTTTTTGGGCACCAGAGTTTTAATGTTTTGTGACCAGGAAAGAGCTGTTTTTCATTGATAAATTTGTCATTTGAATCAATTACGATGATGACTTCTGCTTTCTGTGAGTCACTTCCTTGCTCTTGGGGGCCCTCGGGGGCCTCTGTCTGTGGTGTCAGTGGCACTGCTGCTGGAGTGCTGGACTCAGGTGTTAGAGTGTGGGCTGCTGCTGTCTGGGTGATGGGAGAGCTGGGCCGCTGCTTACAGATACGGGTGAGGCTCTCTGTCTGTTCTCTCAGGCTTTGTATTTCTCCTTCTCTGAGCAGCAGCTCCTGTCTGACTGTTTCCAGTTCTTTATTCATGGTCTCTCTGTCTTGCTGCAGTTTGCATATCTCTCTTTTTAGCTCCTCAACACTAGTTTCAAAGTCTCGTGTGAGGTGATTGATTTTATTTTCCAGGTGTTGTAGGCGTTCACTGGATATTGCATGGGAGAGTGTTAGTTCCCTGAGCTCCACCAGCTCTACCTCTTGAAGGGAGAGGCTGTTTCTGATCTGATTGACAGACTGTTCCAGCTGTGGGTCGTGTTCAGCAG